CAAAATAGACCAAACCCAGATATAAGAGAAACCCGGATATAAGAGACTTCTTCTCTGGTCCTGACAACTCTCTTACATCCGGGTTACACTGTATATATATATATATGTATATGTAGCTGGCCACTCATATTCGAGGATACCCGTCAACTCAGGTGGCTAGCCAATCTCTATTGCAGACACTTGTTCAGGCGCATTTGTGTTTATTCAACACCCACAGAGCCCACTTGTGGTTTATACTGCAACTATGCTGAGCAGACCTTAGTTACAGTTTCTGGGAAAGAAACATGTTATCTAGCGTGATCAACAATTTGAACAAGGCCAGCATGCTCAAGCCCTCGGCCACAATGAATTGTGACTTCGTGCTAGCACTTTTGAAGCAATATTGTTGGTTCAACTAGCATCTACCAGTTCAATGTGATGATTTTCTGGATTAAAAATCATTATTGAAAGTAAAAATTTAAATTTGTCATTAATCACGTGTGGTAAGCACCACAGTCAACAAGTAAGCCGTTTTTGTTGGAAACCGTGTCTAATCCAATTGAGAACAGAAATTAATGTTCATTAATGGAAACATGTTCTATGTTTTTTACAAAATGAGTTTTTTTTTGTTTTGTTTTTTTTTGTTTCTGCACTCGGTAATTTTATGTCCAGGTTTGTGACAAGCATGGCAGATAATATTTTTGTTCAGTAGCTTGGTATTATAGCATTTTGTGGGGGTATTGTTTACTGGATAATTCTTAAATTTGCTCTGGCAATTAGGGCTTTTATGTCCAAGTTTACCACAAGTAAAACCGGTATTGACATTAGTGTGTGGCTTTGGTCTTGGCATTCTGAGAATCATTATGGTATTTTCACTGTTATTCTCCTGAATTATTTTTTCAGTTTCTTCGAAGCTTTGCAATGCTACTTTGAATTCCCTGAATGTTACTAGTTTGTCTTTATGAGTAATAACAGTTGTAAATGGCTTGAAATCAGACCAAAAGCCTTTTAGTACCATGCCTATTAGTCAACCATTGCTAATTAATTCCCTGGAGGTTTTCAATCAAGTAGCTGTGTTTTTGGCTCTAATAATATAATCAGTAATAGTTTCAGCACTGCCTTTGTGTAGAGGTGTAATTCAGTATAGAAGCAAATTATTTTAGGCTTTCATTTTGACAAATAGTGCCCTCTCAAAATTTGCATCGCGTTTCTCCCATCATCAAGGGCTTTTCTCATAATAAGAGACAGACTTTGATCATCGATAATTAATTCTGGAAATCTGTTTGCATTCTTTTCATGGTATTCTTCATCATTAGGATGATCAAAAGGTGCCAAGATTGTTTTGTGTAATTTTTGGATTTGCATATAACCCAAATATTTTACTTCACATAGTTTGTATTTTGATTCACCATCAGTGAAGCAGAATTTATTTCTGAGCAGATAACATATCTAGTGAGTAGTCATGGTCAAATGCGAAATAAATAACAGAATTGTTGAACAAACAGAATTAACAAAGTTTGTAGTAAAAAGGAACAGGGCAAAAATGAAATAATATCAAGCAAGCAAGTTAACAGGTAAAAAAAGCAAAAAGTTCACAAACTAAGAATTTGCATTGACACACAAAAGCAAATTGGGATACGCAGATGCAGCAGTCTCTCTTCTCGACAAGGCAGATCTGGACTGAGTTATGTCAAACTGCAAATTGGCCTATTTTATTGGCTAAGAAAAATATCCCAGCATGCATTTGTAGATTTGTGCCTTTATAGGCAAAAGTTCACAACTACCTGCTAGTCATTGCTGTTAAAGTCCGTCGTTCACTTCTGAACCGACTGCTCGGTTGAACTCTCTTCCTACGGACAGGAGGAACCCGAAGGAGGCTCCGCCAAAGGGCGGAGTCTCCTTCAGGGAGGTAAACCGGCCCTGAACCCGTACATACAGGTTCAATGGGCATATCTTTGGCTGAGCTCACGGGCTTGGAATGCCCACGTTAAAAAGGCCTTGTGCCCATGATACCCTCATGGGGGTGGTGACTGAATATCGTCATTGCTGTTAAAGAGGGGTGGTGGGGTTGCAGTCATTTCCCAGAGATGGAAATCAACTAGTATTCACACACACACAGACACACACAAAAGAATTATTCTTAAGATCCCAACTGTTTCAACTTTAAATAACTCACAAAAGGATGATATGCCATAAAAAGCAAATCATTCAATCAATCAATTCATGAGTGGAATATATTTTAAGACACATGTCCGCATATTAAAAGCCCTCTCATGTTTTTCCCCTGACTCTATACCAGTGTTTCTCAACCTTTTCTTCCTTGTGGCTCATCTTTGGTGTCAAAAATATTTCAGTGACATTGCAGACAGGTCCAAAGGATTTATATTTTCTACTACATTTTACTTCAGTAAATAAAATCTATTTCCTATTACATGGAATTTCTATTTCAGCTTATACGGATTAATGAATTTAAAGATAAAAACTGCTAGTCATTGCTGTAAGGATACAAATAGGAGTGGGAGGAGAGTGAAAGATAATAAGTCTTATGAAAGCAATTATATAAATTGTCAGGTGAATAACATTTATTTATAGCCATTTCATTTTTTCCTTTTATTTTAGGTACACATGCACAATTACCTTTTCTATAGTCAATTTAGCTGAGTCTATCTGTAATGTGTCTGGCCACCCATCTGTAATGTGTCTGGCCACCCATCTGTAATGTGTCTGGCCACCCATCTGTAATGTGTCTGGCCACCCATCTGTAATGTGTCTGGCCACCCATCTGTAATGTGTCTGGCCACCCATCTGTAATGTGTCTGGCCACCCATCTGTAATGTGTCTGGCCACCCATCTGTAATGTGTCTGGCCACCCATCTGTAATGTGTCTGGCCACCCATCTGTAATGTGTCTGGCCACCCATCTGTAATGTGTCTGGCCACCCATCTGTAATGTGTCTGGCCACCCATCTGTAATGTGTCTGGCCACCCATCTGTAATGTGTCTGGCCACCCATCTGTAATGTGTCTGGCCACCCATCTGTAATGTGTCTGGCCACCCATCTGTAATGTGTCTGGCCACTCTGTATGCATGTGTAAGTTCTTTGTCTTTTCCTGGCCTGTCCATAATCTTTCTGCCTGTTACTATGTTCATGTATATCACTTTCAGCTTTTTCTAATCCATCTTTCTATGAACTTTAATGTGTTCTGCTGGTTAACAAAGAAACTATATCATATTGTTGAGGTTCATTTCAATGCTACATAACCTTCGTTCAGTCTTTGTGTTTTGCATCACAAGAGAAAACATTCAGTTTTTCATAATTCTGTTATCTGGCCATAAGTCTATTCCTTGGAAGAAAAAAGTAGCATAGTTTTGTTGGGGTTTTTGATGGAATAAATTTAACGTGTAAATGAGTAATTTTTGGAACTATACCATTTAACCATTGTTCATATTTTCAAAAAGATTTATCCTCTTATTGTTTGCGTTTAACATTGGAAGGCATTAAACTTTATTGGATCATACTGTTTTGACGTACTTTGTTCTGTACTGGATAATGTCTTGAAATGGGAAATCTGAAAGCAGAGTTCAAATTCCAGTTGGGTTCATTACATTCACTTACTTGTAAATACCCTTGGAAAAGGTATAAATCCATCTTCTCTTGTCACCCAGCTATAGATTTAATAGTAGGGTAGACTGGGTCCTGTAGTCTTGGGTGGCAACCAGTCTACCACAGAAAGAAATGGCAACCTACTGCAGAAAAATCTTTTGTCTAGTCAGTCATGAATCAAAAAGCATGTATTGTGTGGCACGTAACTGACTGTTTTTTTATCCTTGTATAATGAACAGCACTCTCTTGGGATTAGAAACTCATTTAAGGGGTCAAATTGTGTGAAATTAATACACTGCAGCTATACTAAGCTTGGGGGTCAGCAGATTTCTTCAAAAATATTCTTCCACTTATATTAAGGTATCCAAGATAAGAGAATTTAACATAGAATTGGCTGTGTTAGGGATAGTTTTGCACAATACCACAAGTTGATGCAAACCAAGACATTAGTCATATTCTTAAACTGATGTTCAGATTTTCATTTGGACATCATGTATGGTATCAAACCTGTTAAGAATTATCTAAATTGTCAACTGTATACAAACCCAGATTTAAAAAAAAAAAAATCTTTGCTCTTAGTAGTATGATGAGATTTGAGATATGCCTCCTGTTACGGGTTAGACATGCTTGATGACATGGCTTTAAATAAACATTGCCATACTTTGTCTTGATGTACCGCTTGATAGCGATAATTTTTCTGAAACTCATTCCTTGGTTGAAATGTTGTGGCAATAATAACATCTATATCAACTAAGATGAGAACAATAGTTTGACTGCCCTGGATGCAACAATAAACTATGTCCAACAGCAAGTCCTCTCATCAGGAGGTTTTGATGAACGTGGTACCACCTTTTAATTGCTGCTGTTCCCAGGACCACCCTGACCTGGGGTGGTAGCACATGTTAGGGTCACAGCTATGAGTAAATAGTTAACCCCCAAATTGGGATCAAAACACTATGAAAGTGTAAAAATAGGTTTTAATACCAGAAATACTTTGTAAAAAAACAAAAAAAAAACTATTACCAGCAATAAAAATGTTGTTGACATTAAATAATCCATTGAGGTTGATATGCTGTAAAACAAAACAAAAACTAAACCAAAGTTTGAAATAATACAAGTATATTGACAATTACTCATCTCTGAAATGAAATGGTAAATTACACTGATCCACTAATAAGAATTTTTCAGGGAATAAATTTTGTAGATTAGCATTTATTAGACATTCTTCAAACTGCAATATTTGTTAGAATTTATATACACACACACACACACACATATATATATATATATATATATATATATATATATATATATATATATATATATTTGGAAAGGAGAGGTCTGTTTATGATAAATATACATTGTAAAATTGATCACTGATTTTTTTATATTAAGTTTAAAACTGATTATGTCATTGATACTGGTTCCTGTATGATCACCAAAGTTAAGCAACATTGAGCCTGGTCAGTATCTAGATGGGTGACTGCTTGGGAATACTGGGCGCTGTAAGCTTGGATATATGGGTAGTGTAATGGATTATGGATTTAAATTGTTAATTGTAGAGCTGAGTTTCAATTCCAGTTTGGTTAGTTATATTCACTTATGTGGAAATACTCTTGAAAGAGGTATGATTTTACCATTTCTCTCCTCCCAGTTATGGGTTAATTAGTAAAACTTGTATCACTAAACTATTATCTCTCCACTTACCAAATTCTTACAACCTAAAAATATTTTCTGGCTTTAAATAACCTGTAAAGGGTTGATAAGCTAGAGAAAAAGAATGAATCATTGATAGCTGCATATGAAAATATATTATATACACAAAAAAGAATTTTTTTTGTTTTAAAGAAATACGGATATTTTTATGAGTTTTATTCTAAGAAAATAAATTGTGTTTAGATTTTCTTAATATTTTCTATAAATTTAATTTCATACTCTTGGAAACTTTATTGAAATATTTTCTTACATGGAAATCACATAAAACCTTTTGGTACTATTTAAATTTACTGGTCCCCTCATGGAAAGAAGAAGAAAAAAATCATTTTTGTAACTTAACATTTGATTTGAAAAAAAAAATTGTTTTTTTTTTTATTTATTTAAATTTTATTTATTTTTATTCCTTATTTTTTTTAATCAATCATAAAGTCGGGGTTGGTTGTTCCTAATTTAAATACAGTCAAAAATTCATCGCTGACTTCTTCGGGGTTATCTGAGCTAAGCTTAGCTTGCAACTGTGCCTCTATAATACATATCTGCATTTTTTATTTTTTTTAATTTTGTGAATTTAAATTAATATTATGAACAGGATACCCCTTATAAAAAAAAATAAATAAAATAAAATAAAACTTCTATATTTTTTAATTCTGCCAAATTGTGAATCTTGGGAAATGTATAAGGAAAACTAATCTACAAAAATTATTCCCCACCCCCAAAACCCTCTTTATTTTTTTCATGAGTAAACCAGTTTACTTAAGAAATGCCTGATGGTTAACTGATGTGAACATTTCACCACCTTACTCATCATCTATGCATTCACAACCCTTCCTGTTTCTATTTACTTTTTGGAGTTCATGAAGGTTCAACAGGTTTCATTTATTTCACCATTCCAACTGTCAGCATGAGACTTTTGATAATCATTGTTGTATGTACCTTTTAATGGATAATCTTGACCCAAAAAATGTTTTCTTTATTGTCATTTCCAAGCATCAGTAAAAATTCTTATACAATAAAAAGAAAAACTCAATTACAATTCGTGTGATAAGCATGAGTGTTTTTATTGGTCCGATCTATTGTGAAATTCACAAAAAAAATCAAGAAATGCATTCAAAATATTGCACTATTTTGAAAGCTATCTTGTCATTCCATGAAAATGTATAGGGGTATCCCATGTTATTCCATGAATAGTGGGGGCCACCTTATTATTCCAGGAAGACTGGTCACCTCAACATAAAATCCCGAGAAAAAAGTTTTCCCATGTTTACTGTACTTATGTCTATCTTTTTAATTCTCGTGCAAACTCGACCCTTGTCTTCCTATTGTTTATCAAAAAATCAGAATTTGGGATTTAATAACCTGGAAAACCTTGATATGCTGTAAAACAAACCAAACCAGCGTGTTATTTCGCATAAGCAGAGGTTAATAGCATTCCACAAAAGCAGGCTTGTTCAGCTCACTATTCCATGGAAGCAGAGCTTCCAGTTTGCCTTTCCCCTTAAGCATGGCTTCCAGCTCACCATTTCATGGAATTAATAGACTCAACTCACCATTGCACAGGTGGGGCTTCCAGCTCAACTTTGCATTTAAGTGGGGGCTCAAGTTCACTATTAAACTAAAGGAAGGCTATTTACACTATTTATAATAAAGATGACAACAGTCCAAACAATGTAAATAACTACAATACCTCATCTCATAAATATAGACAGATGTTAAAGAAAGGCTGTGAATGATTTACTTTAATTATTAGTATCTGATCCTTTCTAAACCTGACATATTGAACTGATAGAGTGCACTATTGCAGAGCTTATTGTGCAGTTTAACTATGTTGGAGTAATCGTGTAATTATGGTAAAAATCTCAAAGATATATATAATAAATGCAGGCCTTGGCTGTAGAGCTTTTGGGCTGCCGATAAATCAAAATCCCATTTTCAGTATTGTCTGTAGAGTTCAAAGGAAAGGGTAAACCAATAAAGTTTGCGACCAGTGAAGTTACAGCACTTGTAAGGTGATGTCGTATGCAGTTCAACTACCTTCAGGATTCTATTCTGGATTTGTGTAAGATTTACTTGTTAGCCTTCTCTTCTTATGATGATGATACCCACAACATAGGGGGTTTTGAATTTGGTTTTCCTTCTCTTTGACTCACCGTTACCTGAAGCTAGAGAATCCAGCATGCTCTACAATTTAACCCATAGATAGATTCCCTTTCCAAAGCCATTATTACTAAGTGAATGAAACTATATCAGAATTTTGAACTCAGCATGCATTAATAACATTTACACTATTTGCACTTGATAGAGCCCCACCTCACCCCGAAACCCCCCACAGTAAAACATAAAAACTGTACGAGAAGGTGTACAAATGATTAGATTTGAACCATGTTGATTCCTTGACTGAATTGGTTAAGGTATTGGCCATATAAATTAAACTAACCCTCCCATATGTTTGAAACTCACGTCTTGTTGGAAGCTGCTACATTATTTCAATTCGATGCTGTTTTCATTATTGATGTTTGAAGATAATATCAGTGCAGAATGTTTTTTATGCAAAGCAGCGGTGAAGGTAAAAATAATATGCTTCTATATTTTTTATATTTTATATAGTTGTCTTTTTCATGTTTTCCAAAAGTTATTTTCAAAATATGCTATGTTATATAGAAAGTAATATTGATGTAGTACAGTCTGACCTCTTTAATCTGTCACTCTGTGAACTGACAGCTCCCATGGTCTGGTACTTTTTTTAATCAGCCACAACTAGTTTGCTCAGTGGCTGCAAGGACAATGTCACAAGTTGCTTACAACTTTCCATCCATCCTGGGTAAGATGATAAACTACATCCAACGGCAAGGCCTCTGATAAGGAGGATGAGCATAGAGCCACCTCAATTTCTGGTGACCATAGGTCCACCCTGATCTGAGGTGGTAGCACCTGCTAGGGTCCCAGCTATGGACAAATAGTTAACCATCAAACTGGGGTCAAAACATTATGAAAGTGTAAAATTAGGTTTTAATACCAGAAATACTTTGTAAAAAAAAAAAAAAAATTATTACCAGCAATAAATTTTTGAAGGAAAAAATTATTATCAATAATACTTTATAAAAAAAAAAAATATTACCAGCAATACAAACAGCTATATATTTTTTGAAAAAAATATTACCAACTATACATTTTTTGAAAAAAAATATTATTTTCAGCAATAGATTTTTGAAGAAAAAATATTACATAGCAATATATTTTTGGAAAAAATATTACTGGCAATAAAAATCTTGTCAGCTTTAAATAACTCATTGAGGTTGATATGCTGTGAAACAAACCAAATCAAACCAAACAACTTTCTGCAACAACTGATAACAGTAGTGATTTAGCAATAGTCTTGCTCATTTCTTATATATAGCTGGATATTTATACATTCAGGATAGTAATTATATATGATTTTTTTTTTTTTTTTTAGTTTGTCTAATAGACTTTTTTATTGCATGAAGCAACAAAAACCTTGTTTGAAAACATTAATAATTGTTTTATTTCTTGTTTTAAGCTTTGTTCTGACATTCATAACATCAGTGGACTGAACAATTACAAAAATAGAGCTTAAGTGTAAATCTTTATGTATGCTCCAAAAAGTGGAGTTACTGAAGAAATTAGGAACATCTGTAAAGAATTTGTGTGTGTATGATGGCACTGAATCATCCACCCATCCTGGGTATGACGATAAGCTATATCTGTTTTGGCTAAGACAATAAACTGACCATTAGCAAGGCCTCTGATCAGGAGGTTTTGAGGAGCGTGGAACCACTCCTTAATTGCTGGTGTTCCCAGGTCCACCCCGACCTGGGGTGGTAGCACCTGTTAGGGCCCCAGTTATGGGCAAATAATTAACCCCCAAACTGGGGTGAAAACACTATGAAAGTGTAAAAATAGGTCTTAATACCAGAAATACTTTGTAAAAAAAAAAAAAAAAAAAAAATTACCAGCAATACATTTTTCGAAAAAAAAAAATATTGCCAGAAATAGAATTTAAAAAAAACATATTACCAGCAATAAAAATTTTGTCAAAATTAAATAACCCATTGATGTTGATATGCCGTAAACCAAACCAATCATCCACTTTATGACTTAAAGAAAGAAAAATAGTAATAATTTTTACATTTTTCTCTGAAAATGAAAGTCAGAAATGTTTGAATTGCATGAAACAATAAAATCTTTGTTTTGAAGTATTAATGATTGTTTTATTTACTATTTTAAGCTTTATTCTACATTTGATAACACAGCAATATATAGGGGGAATGAGCTGGCAAGACTAGGTTTACCTAGGGTTTTTTTTTTTTTTTTTATAAAGGTGATTTCAATGGTGCCAGATTAAAGTGGTCACAATGGATGAACCCCCCCCCCCACTGGTCTAATTAATTATCACTGGTCTAATATCTAAAAATTTATTCAACATGTGTTTATGAAATATTTATTCCATATTTTTCTTTCTCTCTATAGGATGAAATTGACCTTCGTGTTAAAGCTGCTCGTCTTACCGTGGAGCAGGTGTACAAATCACAGTCAGAGCTGATGAAGGCATCACTAGAAGAGAAGAAACAGAGTGAATTGGCCGAGCTGAGAGATACTCTGGCTCGTTATCACAATGAAGAGATCAGTCGACGTGAGACGGAATGGGGTGGACATCTAGAGAAACTGCAATCACAATATGAACATCAAATTGAGATTGGGCAGGAACCAGCACCCAAAGGTAATTTTAACACTTTATTCATCGCAATTTCTATGATGGCATTTCTAGTCCCTTCAATGATGCTTCAGGATAACGTTTTAGGTGGATACTTCAATGTTTGGTTATAAGCCTAATTAATGTCTACCTTTTTGACTCTAGTGTAAAAACTGGGCACATTTCTACTTTTTTGACCCTAGTCTAAAAACTGGACTCATAACTGCCATTTTCACTTTAGTGTAAATAGGACATATGCCAACTCTTTTATTAATTTATTGTGCTTTTTGTCCTATAAAACTTATATTTGATATTAAATAATGCAGCAAATGTTGATAAATTTTTGAATTAACTAACCCAACCTGATTTGCTTACTGGTAAAAATATTCTATAAATATAATATTTAAATAGCAATAAATCTGTTGTCATGGAATGTCCCACATTCCCTGTGTGGACTGACTATATCAGTAGATATATATAGTGAGCACAGGATATACCTGGGGACATGCTTCGGGAATTAGTTGGAGATTCATCTCCAGCTAAGCTAGTCGAACTCTTTGCCTTCAGGCAGAGAGGAACCCAGATAAGGTTATGCCGAAGGGCAGAGTCTCGTCTGGGGTGGTAGACGGCTACCTGACCCCATTTTTTACGGGGGTCTATGGGAAATTTTTGCCCAGGCCCATGGGCTTGGATACCCCATGTTAAATTTGGCCTTGTGCCACATCTGACCATATTGGATGGTTGACAATTATCCTTACTTCTGGAATTACTAGCCTGCCACCCGATTCCCTGTCTTTCAGTAGTGTATTCACTTTTACAATAAACCTCTCTTTCATCTACACGCGTGTTGCTGTTCCTTCACTCAAGCACCATCTTTGTCTGTTTTTAACCTCTTTAAGGATATAACAAAATCTAACTGGCTTACTTATGTCACAGATAGAAGTTTCACCCAAATGCAGTTTTGGAAATTAAGAATATTTTCTTAAAATAAAACTAATTGAATGAAGTGCAGTATGAATTTTTTAATTATTAAAATAATGTTTAGAAAGGAAAGTTTAAATTAAAAATTTAAATGCTGAAAACGAATATAATATTCAAACACTAAATAAAATATTTTGAAATAATATTTTGGAAAATCCCTTGTATTCAAAAGGAGGATTGGAATATTCTTTGAAATCTGTTGCTTGATATCCAATTTTAATTTTAAAGAAGCCATGAGTTTACAGGAATTAGTGAGTTCAGGTAGTCAGAAAGATGAGAATGCATTTGTGATTTGTCCTGGGGAAATGACTGGTCACAGTTTTTACTTTTATATGTATCATTATCCTTTAAATGAAAAAAAAATTTATTTGTTAGGTCAAAAGTATTTATAATATATTCAGACAAATAATCTCAATATACATTCTGCAAATTATGAATCGACAAATTTCAACAATTACACACACACATACATATATATATATATATATATATATATATATATATATATATATATATGTATGACTCTCCCATCGTTTATTGACGTATGATGGTCAAGCAGCTCAGTTCTTAGAAACCAACAGCCGGACACCTGCACACATGATTTGATTATATTGGTGAAGGCTTTGTGCAGAACCAACTACACTTTTTGAAGTGCCAAATACAGAAACCTGGTGCCACGTGTCACAAGGTCCCCAAACAACCCTCCACAGGTTTTGAATTCAGAGTTGTCCTTCTCCTAGACCAGTTGCCATCCAAGGCTATAGAACCCAGTCTGTCCTGCTATTTAACCATAGCTGGAGGGAGAAGAGGATTAATACCTTTCCCAAGAGTATTAGCACATAAGTGAATGTAATGTATTCGACTGGAATTTGAACTCTGCTCTCTGATTCCTCAATCCACTGATATCTTATATATATATATATATATATATATATATATATATATGTATATGTGGTTAATACAAATATAAAATTCACTTACTGATTGATGTTATTCTCAGCATCCTGTCTCCAGAGTTTTGTAAACTGGTCCTCCAGCAATCATTCCAGCCACTCATCGGGGCTTATATCAGCAATCGTGTGTGTATATATATATATATATATATATATATATATATATATATATATATATATATATAATATCCTACTACTCAAATGTTATTTTGTGGATCCCCATCTTCTAGTAGATGCTCTCACACATTTCTTTTTATAAACAGTATGGGTTAAATCTATATGAGGTACTTATGCTTGTGTATTTAAAGATTTCATAGACTTAATAAAGGAAATCTGCTCTCACATTTTCTTTATTAAATCTTTCGAATGTGTAGGCCAGTTGAGGTAATTTGCATTTGAAAAAGTTAAGAAGAGAGAGTGTACTCAAACATGAGTATCCTTAAAATAACATTTGGAATAGTAGGAGATATATATAATCTCAAGAACAGTATTGGGGAAATTTCCACTTTGTCATACAAATTCTCCATTTTTATATATAGCGTGCAATGGATCAATTTTCATCTCAATTATCCCAAAATGGAAATAACACTGATATCTCATTTTAACAGCTATATTTACCACAATTATACAAAATTATCTTGAAGTACTAAAGAGTAAATTTATTCAATAAATTTTCTATTGGCTTCAACTATGGTCTCCAGATGACTTATCTCCTGCAAATTTTCTGGAAAGTTTCCTTGTTGAAGTTGGTGAATGCTGCCATAATTCTTGCCTTCACTTCATCCTTGGTTTTACAAAGAATTTTGTTGGTCTCTTGCTCAACTATGCCTAACACATAATAATCAAGGGGTTTGCAGTCTGGGGAATTAGGTGGCCAGATATAAGGGGTAATGTGGCATCATTGTGGGATCATAAATTTGTTTGGGAAATTAGAGTATCATTTTGTGATGAAAAACACATTGATTTGAAAATTGTTTCATTACAATTGGATAATTATCAGATCTTAATAAAACTCTCAACATTTACTCATCAATTTTTTTAAAATCAAACAGGATTCAAAGTTAGAGAAAATCTGCTCTAAATCATAAAATAAAAAATACAATAAAACTAAGACATTATTTAATTAGAAAAGTTTTTCATCATTTTATGATATTATGGGCACTATTATGAAAAAGGTTTTTTTGATAAATAATGAATTTTTACAAGAATTGTTTTCAGTTTTAAAAAATTAGAATAATTTATAAAATTTTAAAACTCTGTATTGTAGCAGTCAAATGATATTGTTATCAAATAAAAACTGTATTTACTAATCATAAATGGAAATGACTACAATTTTGAATTTTTTAAATGTTCCAATTTTTGTAAATATACATGTATAGATTGTATTTACATTATATTCATCATGTAATTTTATAATAATTATCTCCTTATTTAAATTTACCAGACATCAGGCTGTTGATAAAACTGTCAACACCTCATAAAAACACCCAACTCTATATTAAATGCTTTTCTGTGATATTTTAAACTAAAAGTAATTTTTTTTTTCAATTCAGATTAAACTTTAATTTGACTAATTTTTCTTGAATAACATTTCAGAAAAGTATATTATATTTTTGAAAGATTTTTTAATAAAAAGAATTATTTTGACAGATTTGTCAATTCAAATAAATTTATAGATTTTACAGATAAGCAAATAAAAAAAAGAAAAAAAAGAAAGATTATTTCAATCAATTTCAATTTGGTTTGAAATGCACCAAAGTATTTTAGGGTGGTAACACCTGTTAGGGTCCCAGCTATAGGAAAATTGTGATCCCCTCCTGGACAAAAACAAAGCACTATGAAAGTATAAAAATACATTTTAGAGTAGAAATACCAGCAATGCATATTTATAGTAAAATGACCAGCAATACATTTTATCTGTAGTTGAAGGCATGCAATTGCATTCAAAATATATTTAGCTGAAGGCGTGCAATTGCATTCAAAATATTTAGATTTCAGCATTAAATAACCCAGTAACTCTCAACCAACATACTGTGGCACACAAGATTGTCATGGTTTACATATATATATATATATATATATATGTGTGTGTGTGTAAGTTGTAAAGGTACAGTGTTAGTATTTTACTAAATAAGCTGCACAAATAGTTATATAGAAACATTGAAATGAAGTAAGTTCATATTTGTCTGCATATTTTTCTTAAAATCTATGGTTTTATTTCATAACATTTAAATGGATACCCTTTAAAAATTTTGCTAAGTGTGCTGTGATATTTTCATTTGATCCTAGGTGTGCCTTTGCTTAAAAAGGTTGAGAAACACTGAATTAACTGATATAAATTGATATGCTGCTAAACAAAGTATTTTGCTTAATTGGAGCATTAAATTTAATCTGTAGAATTAAAAGTAAAATAAAAGCTTCAAAAACGTTTTTTTTTTTTTTTTTTTTAATGCATTTTAAACCTTAGTGATGAACTTTTCTGTGGGTGGGGGTAGCCTACATACACAATAATGAAAAATAAAGCAATTCCTTGTTAACGAATCCTATTAAGTTAATTGTTTCCTATTAGTGAATCCTTCATATGTGTTTCCTATTAACAGGAGCAGTTGGTACACTGGAAGGAGCATCACTTGTTCAAAATCTTACGAAAAGACTTAACGAGGAGCATAAAAAACTAATTGAGGTAAGATAATTTCTCTCTTATTTCTTAATCTCATATCTCTTGGAATATGAGGATGTGTGTATATGAGATGAAAATGATTGGTAAAAACAATGGCTTTTCTTCTTTATATCTTTGGTCACTGGATTTTACAAGTATTTGACTGACTGCTTAAACTGAGAGAAGGGCTTTGCTTGGACTTTGATACACTATAGGCCAGGAGCAGTCAAACTTGCTCAATGTAAGAACCACATACAATAAAATTAAGATGTTTGAGAGCTGCAAGACTTCAACAAAATTTACACATACGTTTTTGTTACATACACATTAACATTAAATTTAGGTTTTAATCCAATGGGATCTTAATTCACACCTAGTAAATAGTTATAAAGCTTGAAATTTTTCTTATATACCTTTTACATTAACTGCGATGAAAAAAGGAGCTCAGCCAGCATATTTCCACAAGCCACATAATTAATGGTCAAAGAGCATCATGTGGCTCAAGAGCCACAGTTTGGCCACTTTTGTTATAGGCCAAAAATTTTGGTGCCATCTTCTGGATTTAATAATCACTAAGTTTTATCCCTTTGGTTTAATTAACTCTTACAAAGATACTGAAACTATTTAACTCATTAGTATATGATGTACAATTTTTTAGTGAGGGTTTTACTTACAATTTTAAATCTGCCATTCTTAATTTGCCAGAAAAGTTGTTTAAGTAAAAATTGCTAAACTCTGCAGTGATGGGTTAGTATTATTATTGACTATATGGTAAAAACTGTAATTGCAATGACACAAACCTGTAATTGTAGAAAAACTGAAAAAAATTGCCACTTAGATGGACACTGTTTGATTGACAGCACTGTGTACAGAGCTGAAGTTGAGATAGGACTCCCCACAATGAATTGGTTTGACCGAGAGCAGCATTTGAAAAAAGATATAGCGATCATGCAACTCTGTTCAGCTTGAGTAGATATTGTAATAGCATGGATCTGTCTAGATATATCTGGAAAATAAAAGATGAACATCCAACCAAAGCGTAAGATAAAGCATAGTAAATAAAATAAGAACTATGCTAGGGCAGGGAGGAGATATTATGCACATTGTGGCAGGAGGAAAAATTTGTTATCTTGATATTCCCAAATTCAGTTTCTCTCTATTGAATAAGAGAGCAGAAATAATTATGGGATGTTTGCATTTAAGAGATAATATGGAACCTGGATAATCCTCCCATCTGCAGGGAGGGGATAAATACTTCTCTGTATCAGTTTTGTATTATTGTTTCATAATAAACTAATCCCATTGTTATAATTCTCTGTCTTTTCTACAAGTATTTTTCATAGCAATTGTTCTAATGAGCTGTTCTCCTGAGTGCCTCAACTGCATGAAGTTAAGCTCTCTACTAGATTGGCAATTAGGTCTCACTGTTTTACTATTTAACTAGCTAGATACCACCATCAGTTCTATTCTAATAGTTTCTTTTCTCACTCTTCTAGTCTGTGCAACTTCTTTCCAATTTCTTGCTTCCCTATGACCTAAATAATAATAAAAAAAAAAAACACAATGTCAATCACCATCTTCTATCTTCTTGAACCCTGTTCCTTTATTGACATTTTTTTTCACTTCTCCTTAATAATGTCTTCTCATTCTCTTTCACTCCCTGTAGCCCCCTGCTTGAAATCACTTTGGTTGGGGTGAAATGATTTTAAAAAAAAAATTTTTTTTAAATTACAAAGGGAGGATGCTAAAAATTCTTGGTTCAATCAAGAAAAGATTCTAAAACAAAACTTTGTTTGATCATTTGGTTAGATTTTTAGTAAGTTTTCAGCGCCTTCTTGCATATATTATGGGACATAAAATAAATCTGTCCTGGGTATGACGTCAAACTACATCTGTGTCCTGGGTAAGACGATAAACTACATCCAACAGCAATGTCTCTGATCAGGAGGTTTTGAGGAATGTGGAACCATCTCTTAATTGCTTGTGTTCTCAGGTCAACCCTGAACCAAGGTGGTAGCACCTGTTAGAGTCACAGCTATGGGTAAATAGTTATCCCCCAAACGGGTCAAAACACTATGAAAGTGTAAAAATAGATTTTAATACCAGAATTACTTTGTAAAAAATTATTACCAGAAATAAATTTTTGAAGAAAAATTATTACCAGCAATACATTTTGGGAAAAAAAATATATTACCAGAAATAAAAATCTTGTCAGCATTAAATAACCCATTAAGGTTGATATGCCATAAAACAAACCAAACCATAAAATGAATAAGTTTTGTATTGTTGTTGAGTGCTCAAATGGTAGCTTTTGTATTAGCTTTTCAATTCCTATTCTGAAGATTATTATAGCTAAGATAGTTTTCTCTCAAGCCCGCATGAAAGTACACCTTTTTGAGCAGTCAGTTATCTGTTGAAATAAATCTCAGGATCCATATGGTATAAATAGATATAAAATCCATTTCAAATGAATGCCAGGTGCCACTGGGGAAACAATGTCTTTGGTTTTGGCAGAAATGATTACAATCTCACCAGAAATGATTACAATCTCACCAGAAATGATTACAATCTCACCACATTGGTGTCTGAATGTAATTAACAAAAAAAAAAAAAAAGTTTTCACTGTTGCAGTGTAACTGCTCAAGCATTTTTTAAAATCATTTTATTTTCATTTGTTTTGAAGTTTTGAATTTGTTTTAAAATCCTGTTTGAATTGTCAAAAGTTGGTGAAAATTTTAGAATATTTGAGAATTATTTTTCCCACCCCACAAAAATGATTTAAATTTTATTTATTTTTTTCTTTTTTTTCTTTGGTGTGCACCAAATTGGATATAAAAACATTGTTTTTGGAACGAGTATTTGTGCCAAAAGGATTTTGTGCTCTGCATGTGTTCCTAATCCTTTCAGTGATTTTTAGATGCATGCTGATTTCAACGAATTGTCTTGCAGCATGCTTACATCAAATGAACATAGTTTACAGAAGGTCAAGTTGGAGGAAGAAATATTTTAAAATAATCTTCACATGCTGCAATACTGCATGAGCTTTTGCTTTACAATTTAACTATAAACTGTAAGAAATAAAAGCCAAATAAATACATTAAAATTTAACCTAATGATGAAAATAGTTTTTTTAAATTTTTAGTAAGGATAATAATTACGAAAACTTTACTTATCATAAAGACATAACTAAGAACAAAAAGCCCCCTCATTACAACTGGTTATGAGATGTGGTTTTGAGAATCGGCAACTTTATAAAAGTTGCAGATTTTCAGCACATTTAGTTCATCATAAGATTGGTGTTAATGCTTTGTATTGAAATATTGTTCTATCCAACTATGACCATATTAAGGTGCTCTTTGGGGCCTATGGAATTTGCTGGTACATTTGAACTTCTGGTTTTAATGTTAATAATAAAAACAAATAATTGTTTATATAAAATTAGATTGATGTGGCTATTTGTTAAAGCCTTCATATGTCATCATCAAAGAGGAAATTTTTAAATCTAACAAGGAGAAAATTTTGTCTCAATCATTGGCAATAGTTTTCTCTTGTCGCAATCATTGGCAATGCATTTTCCTGATGAATAGTTTGCATCAATTTTTCTATATACTTGCCAAGTGCTGAAATAGATGCAGCTGTCATTCCAACATTTGAATTAATCTTTGTAAATATAGTTTCATAGTCATGATGAAAATTAAATAAAGGCCTTTCTGCAATATGGCACCATGTGAATATCAACTGTTTTCTTTGCCTTCAGTCCCCTGCCTTTGTTTGATTGTTGTCTTTGCATGGTATGTTTGTATTTTGATTGGTATTTAACAACATTTAGAACCATTGACTCTTCAACCACCTCTGGTCACTGCTTCAATTAAAAAAATGAAAAAAGACAGTGTTATACCTAACCTTTCCATATGCGTTGGCCATAGAGGAGTGTATGTCATTGTATCAGCCTGAGCAAGATGGTAGCTTCATTTTACTTGTAGCAAAATTCAAAATTAGCAATTTATTTGTGATTTAAAAAAAAAAATCTTTTTATAGATGATTGAAATTCTTATGTTAACCAGGTTTAAGCTTATTAATGTCCAGAAAGGAATTCTTAACTCTGATGATTAGTTTAAAGCAGAGAAAATTATTTTCAATAAATAATCACTTTGACAGCACTGGCAATAGACAAAGTACAAGAGGTAAGAATGCACTGCTTTTACAGTCATATTTGCAATATATTTCGTATTTTTCAACATTTCTATTGCTTCTGGTGTCTATGGAAAAACCAATATGTGACTTTCATGACAAAAAATGCCTCTTCCATATAGCCAGAGAACAATCCTCTCTGAATATATATGATGTGGAAGAGGTATGGTGAAGTAATGAACCACAGCTCAGATTGAGGAATCAGAGTTCAAATTCCAGTCACATCCATTACGTTCACTTACATGCAAATACCTTGGGAAAGGTATGAATCCATCTCTTCTCAGTCCTATAGTCATGGGTGGCAACCAGTCTAGGAAAAGGATAACTCTGAATTTAAAACTTCCAACTATGAATTAAATAGCCTCACCAACCTGTAATTGGTCAAGAATGGTGAGTATAGCTTCACCTCTGAAGACATGGTCAATCAGTGAAGGGTTCTGCCAGTAAGAATGAGAAGGCTCTAGAGGGGTTAACTTGTGTAGACAGTTCACAAATTGTACTTTAAATGGTAAAATGGATAGAATTTAGAAATAAATTCAGTCTATATAGGATTTGAGGAGGCACAGTGGGGTAATGTATAGTGGCTTGGATTGAGGAATCGGAATACCGAATTCAAATTCCACTCAAATCCATAACATTCACTTATGTGCTAATATCCTTGGGAAAGGTATGAATCCTCTTCTTCTCTGCCCAGCTATGGGTAAATAGCAGGACAGTCTGGGTTCTATAGCCTTGGATGGCAACTGGTCTACCACAGAAAGAAATGGCAACCTACTACTGGAAAAGATCTGCTTTGTCAGTCATGTATCGAGAGATGCATGATTGCCTTATAGATGTTAATGTTTGAAGTGGAGGAAGATTTTTGCTCTTACTTTTTGTCCTGTGAGGATGCCGTCCTGAGTATGATGATAAACTACATCCATGTCCTGGGTAAGACTATAAACTACATCCAACAGCAAGGCCTTTGATCAGGCCACTGTTGGGTCAAAACACTATAAAAGTGTAAAAATAAGTGTTTTAATACCAGAAATACTTTGTAAAAAAAAAAAAAAATATTACCAGCAATACATTTTTTTTTTGGTGGGGGGAATTACTAGCTATAAATTTTTGAAAAAAAAATATTGCCAGCAATAAAAATCTTGTTTGCATTGAATAACCCATTGAGATGTTGATATGCTGTAAAACAAACCAAACCAAAACTGTTAGTAATGCAAGCTTGAAATCAAGAAGAAATATTTAAAAAAAGAAATGTTTTTTTAAAATGTTATACAGTGCAAGATTTCTTACCTTACTACTCTGTTCCATTGTTAATCAAAAAAAAATTCTAAAAGATAAAAAACAAACGTAACGATTTTTTTTTAAAAATCTGTTTTTGTAGTCATTTTAATGAAAGTCAAACCAAATTTTTCTCCTGTGTTTAAGCCAAACACTAAAAGACAGCTATCACTGTTCTAGGAATTAAAATTATCCTCATTTTGCTTGTTTTTATTACACTTGGCCAATGTGTTCTTCAACATTCCTCAAGACTGTTGCTTTCACTAAATATTGAATCTCATCTTGTTGAAAAAATAAATTAGAACTGAGATGCTACATAACTATCATATATATATATATATATAATAGAGAGAGAGAGAGAGAGACTATATTACAAATAATACAGGGTAGGATACCATCATGAACAGACAAAAGCTTACAGCTACATCATGTTGAAACACTGGTTCCTGTATGATTATGAAGTTAAGCCTGGTCAGTACCTCGGCAGTTGATTGGAAATACCAGTTTCTGAAAGATTGGACATACGGATTGTGTAATGGATAAAGGCTCAGAATTGTTAATCTGATAGCCGAGTTCCAATTCCTGTTAGGTTTGCTATATTCACTTATGCACAAATACCCTTGGAAAAGGTACGAGTCCATCTCTTCTCCCCCAGCTAAAGGGTTAATTAGTAAGACTTGTATCACTCAACTCTTATCTTAAAGAAATAAAAAAATTCTCACAATCTAAAAATATTTTCTGGCTTTAAATAACCTGCAATGGGTTGATAATCTACAGGAAATGAATTAATGAATCAGTTAAGAGCAAGAAACAGGCTCATTGTAAGACTTCATCACCATCATCAAAAACAAGAAATTGAAATGTCATGACCATATGGTAGGCGCTAATAATCTTTCCCCTGCCATTCTATAAAGTACCACCTTAGCAAAAAAAAGAGGAGACAGGGGAAAAAAAATGGGCTGTCAACATTACTAAGTGGACTGGAAGATTATTCATGGAGATTCAATGACGAAACAAAGACATATAGAGGGAGTTAGTCAGGTGCGTGGAGACCCCATGACCATACCTGATCATGAGATTGATAATGATAAAATAAAATTGCAGCATACACCTAAGGAAGCCTGAAAAGCACATTGACCAAAGCAACAAGGGTAAGGATATTAGTCTGAATAATTTACGGATTTGTTTAGCATACCATGACTGAATGAAAGAGAATGATGCCTAGCATTTCAGAATCCATCTTGATATGAATAAACTGGAATAAAATTAATTAAAATAATAATATTGAAAATCCAAGATCTTATGATCCCATCTTCATCTGTAATGCATGACACAGTTATATTGATTAATGGTTTGCACCTGGTGATACTCTCTGTGTGGTCTTTCATTCAGGCCTTTGTAGGTATGGGCAAGCCCTCTCTTGGGCTCAAGTGGCTGGCCGTGTCATCGGTCACTGAACCTTGGATGAGTTCCTTCTTTGACATCATCGTCACAGATCAAGACGTACACCATCTGAGGGAGGTAAAAAACATCACTATTTTTAACCAATGGTTGGCAATTACCTCTCTTCTTTCTATTTTTTATCATTTAACTCTTTGTGGGTTTTTTTAACACCTTTTTCCTGTTTGCACTCATAAAATAGTTTGGTTTTTATGTTTTTAATTTAATTTTTTTTTTTTTTTTCCGAACAGGAGTTTGTTTTTTTAATTTTTCCTTCAACTGTTTTGAATTTTTGTAGTGCATAATCCACAGTTGTTGCTCGGAATTTGCTATCAAGGCTATTACATTTGTGTTTCTTGGGGAAAATTCTTGACCTGGCCTAGTTATCGAAATCTGACCAAGCCTTCTGGCTCCATGCTTTCCAGCCAACTTTAATCTGCAAAAATTTAAATGCAATGTCAATCGCTATCTACTGTCCTTTTGATTATTCTTTCCTCTTCCAACTCATTATTAATGTTTCTGTTCCTAATTCTTCCACACCCTGTAACCACTTGTACCTTAATGGTTTTACTGCCTTTCATGGGGTGATACCAATTAAAAACTTTAAAAAAAATGAGATTTTTTATTTGTTTATAAAGACTTCTTGGTCTGGCTGCAAATCTCTATAGCAGCAGTAGGTAGAAGTGCTACACAGTCTTCCTAACACCAGTCTAAGTTGTTACATTCTATAATACCCAAATTGAGAGTGCATACAAAAATTAAAAAAAAAAAAAATCACCTGAAATATAATTAAGTTTTTACTAATATTGGTTATAGAAAGGTGTTTGCTTCAATGTACAAGTTTTAAGTGTGTAAAATGGTATAACATTTAAGTACCATCAATGCTAAAGAAACTATTAAATAATGAAAAATGTCAATACGATGTACAGAATTGAAGAGTGTAATAGCCTAGATAAGCAAATTCTTTGTAGAAATTTTCTTTTACTTTAAAAATTGCTTAATGTCATTTAGTGTGCATTTATTTTACAGCTGGAAACATCAATTAATACTACGCTTTGATATCAGCTTGTCATTAACCGTTAGTTACTGATCTTTTTGAATTGTGTTTACAGAAAATCAGTTTTACAATCCATTTCATATAACCTTGTCTCTTGCATGTATGCAGGTATCAGTTTCTCTTTTTAATTAAAGTGGTATCATTAACTGCTTGTTTTTACATCTCCATCCATTTGAAACATTTAGAATGCTACTTACCATTTTTGTCTGAATTTCTGGGATGAGGAGTTATTATTTAAACTATTAATATTTGGACTATTGTCTTCATCTTTGTTGCTTTTCTTCCAATGTTTCAGCTATTGTGCCTTCCAGGGAATATTGATTTGGGCAACGCATAGAGAATTCTAAAATCAACCTTTTATTTAATCTAATGGGATAGACTGTCTCTCTGATTCAACTGCTGATGTCTAGGGATATTGTCTAGTTTTTATTTTATTGTTCAATTGGAGGCACGGTGGAGTAATGGATAGTGGCTTGGAATGAGGAACCTGAGAGCCAAGTTCGAATTCTAGTTGAAACCATTACATTCGCTTATGTGCTAATACCCGTGGGAAAGCTATATTTCCTCTTCCCCACCATCTACGGGTAAATAGCAGAACAGACTGGGTTCTATAGCCTTGGATGGCAACTGGTCTACTGCACAAAGAACAGAAAAAATCTGCCTCGTCAGTCATGTATCGAAAGATGTTTGCCTAAGCATGTATCACGCATGATACATGACTGATTGTTCAATTATTGTTTCCGCTGAGTGCAAGTTTAATTTCTGGAATGAAGTAGTGTGTACTTGCACGCAATAGAAACAGGAAAGCAATATCTTAGCAGTACTAGATAAAAATAAGAACTATACGAGATATCCCTAGATGTGAGCAGTGGAACAAGAACAGTCTACCCCCGTAGATTAAATAAAGGATTCAATTTGGAATTCCCTGTAGGTTACCTGGATCAATACATATGAGAAAAGTCGGAAGGCACAATGACTGAAATGTTATGATAAAAACAATAAAGATGAGGACAATAGTCCAAATATAAATAGTGTCATAACTATTTTTTATTGTTATAAAAAATTTTCCAAGTAGTCCATTGATTACCTTTTGGTTTTTAACTGCTTATGACTCTTATTTTTTAAATTAATAAACTCTGCTATATGCATGGCATCCAACTCATTTAGAAATGCCAAGATTAACATTTGTTACAACTGTTCAGATCAACAATTAAAAACGGCTTCAAAGGAACGAATCCTTTAGGTCTTAAAGAAGACAATCTTTAAAGAAGACCTTATAGATTGGTGCTACATCATCACAAACAAAAAGCTTTACCAAATAACTAAAACGATATCATCTGACAACTTCCAAAAACAGGAAGAAGTAAAATAATGATAGAATCAAGATGTTAGCTTTCAACACTACCAAAAACATAAGTTTGGGAGGGAAACCAACATCAATGCTAGAAAGAGTAATAACTGGACTTGAGAAGCCCCTATTTTCATGGTAAAACTTTAAGGAAATGATTTTACAAACTTTAACCGATACTGATGATAATTGTTCACTTAATGACTGCTGAACATTTCCTGTACGGAAACAGTTAATTTCACCATTACTGTAGGAATGCATTATAAATGGCTTTACCATAGGAAGACATAGTAAATGACTTTGCTGTAGGATTGCATTGTAAATGACTTTGCTGTAGGATTGCATTGTAAATGACTTTGCTGTAGGATTGCATTGTAAATGACTTTGCTGTAGGATTGCATTGTAAATGACTTTGCTGTAGGATTGCATTGTAAATGACTTTGCTGTAGGATTGCATTGTAAATGACTTTGCTGTAGGATTGCATTGTAAATGACTTTGCTGTAGGATTGCATTGTAAATGACTTTGCTGTAGGATTGCATTGTAAATGACTTTGCTGTAGGATTGCATTATAAACAGTTTTGCTGTAGGAAGGCATTGTAAACGACTTTGCAGTAGGATTGCATTGTAAACGACTTTTTTGCCGTAGGATTGCATCGTAAAGGACTTTTTTGCCGTAGGATTGCATCGTAAAGGACTTTTTTGCCGTAGGATTGCATCGTAAAGGACTTTTTTGCCGTAGGATTGCATCGTAAACAACTTTTCCGTAGGAAGGCATTGCAAACGGCTTTGCTGTAGGAAGGCATTGCAAACGGCTTTGCTGTAGGAAGGCATTGCAAACGGCTTTGCTGTAGGAAGGCATTGTAAATGACTTTGCTGTAGGATTGCATTGTAAACATCTTTTCCGTAGGAAGTCATTGTAAACATCTTTGCCATAGGAAGTCATTGTAAACATCTTTTTTGCCGTAGGATTGCATCGTAAACGACTTTTTTGCCGTAGGATTGCATCGTAAACGACTTTTTTGCCGTAGGATTGCATCGTAAATGACTTTTTTGCCGTAGGATTGCATCGTAAACGACTTTTCCATAGGAAGGCATGGCAAACAGCTTGGCTGTAGGAATGCATCGCAAAAGGCTTTACCATTGTGATGCATCAGTAAAAAACTTCAGCATAGTAATAATTACCAGAAAGATCTATAAGATTGGACTGGAAAAATCTAATTTCCTGAAAAATTGTTTTAAGTAAAAAATTTTATTAATTTCAATTGATAGCAATGCTTAGTCAATGAATACCAAATGTTTCCTGAATGGAAACAGCTAATTTCACCATTACCATTATAAGACAAATGTTAGAATTTCTAGAATTTAAAATAATTTATTTTAATAACAGAGAAAAGTTATTTTCTGTTTCAAATAAGTTTCTTTAAAAATGTTACTCTTTTTGTTTTCAAACTCAATTAAACCATGCCTTTTGTTCTACTCTGGATATAAAACCTTTTCATATTAATTCTGGCTACAGAAAAAATTAACTTTTAAGATAATACATTTTAATGAGTGCCTGTATTCACATTCTTCTTCTGTGTTGAGGTCAGTACCTAGATGGGTAAGTGCTTGGGAATAACCAGGTGCTCTAATGAATAATAACTTGGAATTGTCAATTGGAGAACAAAGTTCCAATTCCGGTTGGGTTTGTTATATTCACTTATGCACAATATGTGAAATGTATAAATCCACCTCTTCTCTCCCAGCTATGGGTTAAATAGTAAGATTTGTATCACTAAACCATTATTATCAAAAAAAAAAAAAAAAAATTCTCAGAACTTAAAAAATATTTTTTGGCTTTAATTAACATTCAAAGAAAACAAATCAACCAACCAACAAAATTTGTGTTGATGTATATTATAATTTCTAGTTGTGACATTGAGATTTCAGGACAAAGGTAGGAAATAACAGGAGAGATTTGAAACTTGAACAAGATCAACTGGTGAATTATGTAGAGGGGTTTGTTTGCAAAGTGTATTTAGAAAATCGGGTTTAAGTTAACCCTGCTGAATTGTTAGAGTATTGTTGCGTGGCTGTTCTGGCCTTTTTGGGGATAAATAAGAAGTTGCCTTTTACTGGAAATAAATGATTATAAAGACACTCACAGTGATTTCTCATGGGCACCAATTTTGGTTTTAATCAGATACTCTGTAGTACAGACTAAGCTAAAAAAAATAAACCAAACCAATCTAAACCAAAGAATACATACTCTGTTCATATGAATCTATCCTAAAAATGTTGTCGGCATTAAATAACCGATTGAGGTTGATATGCTGTTAAACAAAATAAACCAAACCAATCTAAACCAAAGAATAGATATTCTATTCATATGAATCTATCCTAAAAATGTTGTCGGCATTAAATAACCCATTGAGGTTGATATGCTGTAAAACAAAATAAACCAAACCAATCTAAACCAAAGAATACATACTCTGTTCATATGAATCTATCCTAAAAAATGTTGTCGGCATTAAATAACCTATTATGGTTGATATGCTGTAAAACAAAATAAACCAAACCAGACTAAGCTAAATGACACCCTTAATGCACAATCTTATAAAAATACGTTAAAAAGGAGCTCATATTGTAATACACCAAGGGTGGCCAAACTACAGCTTGTAAGCTACATGTAGCTCTTTGACCTGTAATATGTAGCTTGTGGAAATATGTTATCTGAGCTCTTTTTTTCATCACAGTTAATATAAAAGGCAAATAAGAAAATTTCATGCTTTATAATTATTTACTGGGTATGAATTGAGACCCTATTGTATTAAAATGTAGGTTTAATGTTAATGTGTATGCAACAAAGATGTATGTGTCTATATCTCTGAGATGAGGTATTATGATCACTTACATTATTAATGTTATTCAGACTGTTATCCTCATGTTCATTACCATATTCACAAAATTTCAGCCACTGTACACTCTGGCCGTCTTCAGATGAGTAGATTTTCGAACCAAACCCTTTATTTCATCTGCCGGGGTAGATCCTGTAGGGAAATATCACATAAATGAAGAATGTATAGCACAAATACAGTCCAATCCTCTATGTTCATATTGCTTATTGTTTGGTTAATGCTTTCATAGCTTCATTCTTGCCTGGTTGTTCTGGCCCTTTTGGAAAAATGGGCAATAACACCCCCAACAATGTCAGAAAACAGCTTGTATTGCACAATACACACTCATACATATATTTAAGATAAGACACATGCACACGCACAAATATATATATATATGAGACAGACACACATATATATATATATGACATTTTTATAGATACAAAATATTTAAGTAAATGCTCTGTTTATAATAAACAGTATTAATAACATTTACTGGCCTGAATGTCTGAGAAATTTTCATAGAAAATATTTGTCCTCTGACAGGAATCGAACCTGTATCCTATACGGAACCGTCATATAGCTTGATGTGCCTTACCCAATTGGGCCACAGAGGATCATTCAGTTAGCAAGGTCGATTTTACTGCTTTTAAACTACAATCTTTCATGAATCTCTCGCATACATTCATATATGCTTAATGCGTATCCAAATGTAAACAAATGACGTCACACATTATGAAATGGACAAAGTCCGACGATTATTTTAAGTCATTTTTATGTTTATACATTCTTTTTATAGATACAAATATTCAAGTAAATGATCTGTTTATAATAAACAGTATTAATGACATTTACTGGCCCGAATGTCCGAGAAATTTTCATAGAATATATTCGTCCTCTGACAGGAATATATATATATATATATATATATAAAAATAAAATGTAAGAGACATGTTTAACATAAGACACATACACATATATTTAATAAGACACACACACACACACATATATATATATATAAAATAAGACACGCGCACACACACATCCATATGTAATATAAGACACACTCACACAATCATAATTAACATAAGATAGGCATGGATATTTGATTTAGAAAATGGCGATATGACTACCTGTCTATACCTAGCGGTTTGCTGATTAAGAATAATGCGAAGTTAATTTTCTGAATGAATAAAACAAAGAAGTTATTTCACCAAAAGGTGCCTTTTATATAGGCTTTTGGAATAGATTTACATGGATGTAATTTTCATTGCTAAATTAGCACTTAGCTGTTGAATATCTCAACTGTGAGATTTAAACATAATGTTGAATTATTTCCGTTTTTCCTTTTTAGAGATAATTGACAAAATAATTTATAACGAATTTAGAATTATATTTTTTGTTTTGGATGCTTGAGTTTGCAAATCCAAAGGGCTCAATATAAGTCTAGATGAAAAAAAAAACATAAATGCAAACTGGATATGTAAAGGATAGATCTGTTTACAGAAGTAAACTGAACAATGTTGTAAATTTTAAGTGAATAAGTTTAAACTTAAAAGTTCAACTGGATAAGTTTGTAAACAAAGTCTATGATCTAGTTTACTGGTAAAGGTAATTGTGACTTTTTTAAGTGATTTTATTTAGCTGATAATTTTTTTTTTTAAATAAATTTTGCAATTTCATTGAGGCCAATTTTATTTTTCCTCTCTTTTCTCTTTTTCTCCCACCCCACTCTTTTCCCTTGTCTCACTCTCTTCTCTTTCTTTCCCCTGTCTCGCTCTCTTCTCTTCCTTTCCCGTGTCTCGCTCTCTTCTCTTCCTTTCCCGTGTCTACATCTCTCTTCTCTTCCATTCCCGTGTCTCGCTCTCTTCTCTTCCATTCCCGTGTCTACTCTCTTCTCTTCCTTTCCCGTGTCTCGCTCTCTTCTCTTCCTTTCCCGTGTCTCGCTCTCTTCTCTTCCTTTCCCCTGTCTCGCTCTCTTCTCTTCCTTTCCCCTGTCTCGCTCTCTTCTCTTCCTTTCCCCTGTCTCGCTCTCTTCTCTTCCTTTCCCCTGTCTGCTCTCTTCTCTTCCTTTCCCGTGTCTACGCTCTCTTCTCTTCCTTTCCCGTGTCTCGCTCTCTTCTCTTCCCCTTTCCGTGTCTCGCTCTCTTCTCTTCCTTTTCCGTGTCTCGCTCTCTTCTCTTCCTTTCCCGTGTCTCGCTCTCTTCTCTTCCTTTCCCGTGTCTCGCTCTCTTCTCTTCCTTTCCCGTGTCTCGCTCTCTTCTCTTCCTTTCCCGTGTCTCGCTCTCTTCTCTTCCTTTCCCGTGTCTCGCTCTCTTCTCTTCCTTTCCCGTGTCTCGCTCTCTTCTCTTCCTTTCCCGTGTCTACGCTCTCTTCTTCCTTTCCGTGTCTCGCTCTCTTCTCTTCCCTTTCCGTGTCTCGCTCTCTTCTCTTCCCTTTCCGTGTCTCGCTCTCTTCTCTTCCTTTCCGTGTCTCGCTCTCTTCTCTTCCCCTTTCCCGTGTCTCGCTCTCTTCTCTTCCTTTCCCGTGTCTCGCTTCTCTTCTCTTCCTTTCCCCCTCTACGCTCTCTTCTCTTCCTTTCCCTGTCTCTTCTCTTCTCTTCCTTTCCCCTGTCTACGCTCTCTTCTCTTCCTTTCCCTGTCTATCTCTTCTCTTCCTTTCCCCTGTCTAAGCTTCTCTTCTCTTCCCTTTCCCCTGTCCTTTCTCTCTTCTCTTCCTTTCCCCTGTCTCAGCTTCTCTTCTCTTCCTTTCCCGTGTCTACTTCTCTTCTCTTCCTTTCCCGTGTCTAAGCTTCTCTTCTCTTCCTTTCCCGTGTCTCGCTTCTCTTCTCTTCCCCTTTCCCGTGTCTAAGCTTCTCTTCTCTTCCTTTCCCGTGTCTCGCTTCTCTTCTCTTCCCTTTCCCGTGTCTAAGCTTCTCTTCTCTTCCTTTTCCGTGTCTCTTCTCTTCTCTTCCTTTCCCGTGTCTTTCCTTCTCTTCTCTTCCTTTCCCCTGTCTACTTCTCTTCTCTTCCTTTCCCCTGTCTCTTCTCTTCTCTTCCTTTCCCCCTGTCTCGCTTCTCTTCTCTTCCTTTCCCTGTCTCGCTTCTCTTCTCTTCCTTTCCCCTGTCTAAGCTTCTCTTCTCTTCCTTTCCCCTGTCTAAGCTTCTCTTCTCTTCCTTTCCCCCTGTCTCGCTTCTCTTCTCTTCCCTTTCCCTGTCTCGCTTCTCTTCTCTTCCTTTTTCCCTGTCTCGCTTCTCTTCTCTTCCTTTCCCTGTCTCGCTTCTCTTCTCTTCCTTTCCCCTGTCTACTTCTCTTCTCTTCCTTTCCCCTGTCTCCTTCTCTTCTCTTCCTTTCCGTGTCTCCTTCTCTTCTCTTCCTTTCCCGTGTCTTCGCTTCTCTTCTCTTCCTTTCCCGTGTCTGCTTCTCTTCTCTTCCTTTCCCGTGTCTCGCTTCTCTTCTCTTCCTTTCCCGTGTCTACGCTTCTCTTCTCTTCCCTTTCCCGTGTCTAAGCTTCTCTTCTCTTCCTTTCCCGTGTCTCGCTTCTCTTCTCTTCCTTTCCCGTGTCGCTTCTCTTCTCTTCCTTTCCCGTGTCTCTTCTCTTCTCTTCCTTTCCCGTGTCTAAGCTTCTCTTCTCTTCCTTTCCCGTGTCTGCGCTTCTCTTCTCTTCCTTTCCCGTGTCTACGCTTCTCTTCTCTTCCTTTCCCGTGTCTCGCTTCTCTTCTCTTCCTTTCCGTGTCTCTCTTCTCTTCCTTTCCCGTGTCTCGCTTCTCTTCTCTTCCCCTTTCCCGTGTCTACGCTTCTCTTCTCTTCCTTTCCCGTGTCTCGCTTCTCTTCTCTTCCCTTTCCCGTGTCTCGGCTTCTCTTCTCTTCCTTTCCCGTGTCTACTTCTCTTCTCTTCCCCTTTCCGTGTCTGTCGCTTCTCTTCTCTTCCTTTCCGTGTCTACTTCTCTTCTCTTCCTTTCCCGTGTCTACAGCTTCTCTTCTCTTCCTTTCCCGTGTCTGTTCTTCTCTTCCTTTCCCGTGTCTAAACTTCTCTTCTCTTCCTTTCCCGTGTCTGCGCTTCTCTTCTCTTCCTTTCCCGTGTCTACGCTTCTCTTCTCTTCCTTTCCCGTGTCTACTCTTCTCTTCTCTTCCTTTCCCGTGTCTCGCTTCTCTTCTCTTCCTTTCCCGTGTCTCGCTTCTCTTCTCTTCCTTTCCGTGTCTACGCTTCTCTTCTCTTCCTTTCCCGTGTCTAAGCTTCTCTTCTCTTCCTTTCCATTGTCTAAAGCTTCTTCTCTTCCTTTCCGTGTCTACTTCTCTTCTCTTCCTTTCCCGTGTCTCGCTTCTCTTCTCTTCCTTTCCGTGTCTAAACTTCTCTTCTCTTCCTTTCCCCTGTCTGGCTTCTCTTCTCTTCCTTTCCCCTGTCTAGCTTCTCTTCTCTTCCTTTCCCCTGTCTAAAACTCTTCTCTTCCTTTCCCGTGTCTCGCTTCTCTTCTCTTCCTTTCCCCTGTCTCGCTTCTCTTCTCTTCCTTTCCCGTGTCTCGCTTCTCTTCTCTTCCTTTCCCGTGTCTCGCTTCTCTTCTCTTCCTTTCCCGTGTCTCGCTTCTCTTCTCTTCCTTTCCCGTGTCTCGCTTCTCTTCTCTTTTTCCGTGTCTAAACTTCTCTTCTCTTCCTTTCCCCTGTCTGCCTTCTCTTCTCTTCCTTTCCCTGTCTACTTCTCTTCTCTTCCTTTCCCCCTGTCTCCTTCTCTTCTCTTCCTTTCCCGTGTCTCCTTCTCTTCTTCCTTTCCCCTGTTCTCTTCTCTTCCTTCTCTTCTCTTCCTTTCCCTTCCTTTCCGTGTCTCTTCTCTTCTCTTCCTTTCCCCTCGCTTCTCTTCTCTTCCCCTTCCCGTGTCTGCTTCTCTTCTCTTCCTTTCCCGTGTCTCGCTTCTCTTCTCTTCCTTTCCCCTCTCGCTTCTTCTCTTCCTTTCCCCTGTCTCTTCTCTTCTCTTCCTTTCCCTGTCTAGCTTCTTTCTCTTCCTTTCCCGTTCCCCTCTTCTTCCTTTCCCCAATCTCTTCTCTTCTCTCTTCCTTTCCCGTGTCTTTCTCTTCTCTTTTCCGTTTCCCCTTCTCTTCCTTTCTCTTCTCTTCCTTTCCCCTCGCTAGCTTCTCTTCTCTTCCTTTCCCCTCGCTAGCTTCTCTTCCTTTCCCCTCGCTAGCTTCTCTTTCTTTTTTTTCTCTTTCTTTTTTTTCTCTTTCTTTTTTTTCTCTTTTTACTTCTGGTATGAATAGTGCAATATTATGCAATTCATTTTGAACATTGTGAACTGGCACTACACATTCACAAAGAAAAAAATGTACCAAATAACAGAAACCACATCACTTGAGGACTACCAATGGCAGATACAATTAAAATTGATAGCACATGTAACTTGATAAAATAATAAAGTTGTTGATATTCCACACTACTTGAAATAAACGGTTAGGAAGGAAACGCCCATCAAGACTAGAAAAAAAGCAATAAAAGCTACTCAACTTAAAAACTCCATTTTTCTGAAAAATTGTTTAAGAGAAAGATTTTATAAATTTAAACTGAAAACAGTATTGTCTGCTTGGTCAATGAATTACAAATATTTCCTTGTAGGGAAACATTAGCATTACTGTTCAAATCTTCAATTAAATGACTTTGATTATACCAACTACTTTGTATTGGAACATGAGAGAAAAGGTAAACATTACAATAAGGATTGCAAACAAAAATTTAAAATATTACTGTTCTATGTTTATTGTCACTGAAAATGCATAGAAATATCATTACTAGCACAATAGATATTGTAAGTTCAAATGTTTTTCTTTGCTGTTATTCATGATTTTGAATTTTTTTTTTACAAATATTTTTTTTACCTTCTCTCATATTGTGTAGTGCTTTTGTGATTTTTTTTTTTTTTCTTTTTTTCTGTTTAATTAGAATTTTTTTAGTTATTGCTTTTTATGGTGAAGGGTCTTACACTAGTGGGGGTTTCTCGTGGATTGATATGTGTGCTTGCTGTAGGGTATGCCTTTTGTATTTTGTTGCCCACAAGCCAAATTTTGGTAAGTAAATACTAAGTGGATGCTTATTGTCGCAATTTGTACGTCTGTTTATGTCTTGTTATGCTACCATCATAATATTATTCACACCTGTAGTACCTGATGGCTTTTAATCATTAAACCTGGCATGCTCCAACAAAAAACTGAATACTGACATTTGAGTACATCTAATAAGTTAGATGATGACTAAATTGCTTCTTGGTACTGACATTGTTTATGTTGTTTTCTTACATTTTGACCATTGCATTCTCCAACCTTCATCAGGTAGGTAGTTTATAAGATATAAAAAAATTCCAATTGAAAACTCCCCCGCCCAACTGAAGTATTATATACAAAAACGTTTTATTTTATTTTTTTTTTTACTTGTTTTGAGCTTCTCTAGATTATGTTGTATTTTTTACAATTAAAACAGTGGTGGGTATATTGTAGAGGATATCTAAGCAGTAACTCTGTAAATATTTGATGGCATATAAATCTCATAGGTATACAAGAATACCTTCTGCATTTCAGTATTAGAACTCAGCACTATCCAAAGACCCCCATTGCTGCCCTATCCATCACTATCATGTTCAAATGAAACAGACTGTGGAAAAGAGCTATTTAAAAAAAAAAAAAAAAAAACACATAAGTTTACCATTTATCCACGCATTGAATATTGCTGCCACATCTGGTCTGGTGCTTCTGCTATGCATTTAGAGATACTTGATAAAATTCAAAAAAAAATCTGCAATGTTATTTGTCCTGACCTGGCATTCAGTTTCGGTCATTTTCATACACCCATAAAGTAACTTCCCTGTGCCTTTTTTTTTTTTTTTTTTTTTTTTTAATAAATACTTCCATGGTAATTATTCTGATGAACTTTCCTCTAAAGCACCTAGATTTTATGGACTTGACTGCAGCACTAGATTGGTGGCAAGGTCTCATCATTTTATAATTGAAATAGCCGCTAGATGTAACCATAAGTTATATGCTAACAGTTTCTTTTCTTGCACTTTTTGCTTGTGGAACTCTCTTCCAGATTCTTGCTTTTCAGTAAACTTTGATCTTCAAAAATTTAAATACAATGTCAATTGTTATCTTCTGTTTTCTTCATTTCTGTTCTTCTTATTGTTCTCTCTCCTTAATGTTATCTTTTTCTCATACTCTTTCACATGTGGTAACCCTTTGGGTGAAATGATTTAAAAAAAAAAAAAAAAAAAAAAAAAAAAAAATAATAAAAAATAAAAAAATAAAAAAAAATAAAAAATAAAAATAAAAAAATTAAAAAAAAACTGGGATGGATTAGCAACAAATTGTCCACTCTAGTATCAAAATAATTTGCTCAATTTTTTTTTTTTTTTTTTTTTGAAATGTCAAAACATAGAAGACAATTAGTAAAAATATAAGTTTTGCCAAATCCAACTAGGATTGGATCTAATGATAGAGTGAAACCTGTGGGGACAAATGTTCCATGTAAAGACTGGTTTAATCAGCCACCAAAGGCATAGACATGTAAATTAAGGAAGAACGAGTATAGCATAAGAATGAAATGCTCGAAAAATAGGAATAGCCAATGACCATAAGGTATTGTTAATGTTATTTACAACCATTTACATTCAGACTATTGTCCTCATCTTCAGTGATATCACATTTTCGATCGTTGTACTCTCCGGCCTTCATCTGGGTAACTTACAGGAAATTCCTAATTGAAACCTTTATTTAATCTATGGGGGGTGAGACTGTTCTCATTCCACTGCCCATATCTAGGGATATTTCATCTAGTTTTTATTTTTAGTACTGGCCTACAGAACAATAGCCGAGTGGATTAAACTATGAGTTTGTGAACTTGGTGACATAGTAATTGTGAGTTCAATCCCTGGGACAGGTAGGAAAGTTAAACTTGGTGGAAACAGGGTGAGCAATATTTGAGCAGTACTAAAAACAGACAGCGAAAATGGAACAATTCCCTCTTGTCGATGGAATAAAGGGCTCAGTGTGAAATTAGCTGAAGGTTACCCAAATTGACAGACACCTCAAAAAGTCTGGTCAGTACAACAGCAAAATCATTGTGATAATGGTTTTTTTTTTTGTTTTGTTTTTTCTCACAATAAGGTTTGCCCTGTACGAGGCCTGGGGACTACTCAAGGTAGAAGATTATGTTAAAGGGTAGTTTATATGGATAGGAAGGGAAGCTAACAGTTAACTCTAGACTTCGACAGGTTAAGATTGTCACACAAGATTAAGGCCTCAAAAAACTTACTGATGGTACTGAAGAGACTAATGGGTCTATACCATGAGGAGGAGGATTGGCCGGCTGTGTTCTTGAAGACCAGGTATATATTTGCTGTCTTCCACAGACTTGGGAAAGATTTCTTATTCAAGCAGCAATTAAATAACTTTGTTAGGGTCAGGAATAATTCTGGGTTGATATTCTTAAGGATGACCACTGAAATTTTGTCTAGACCAGTGGCTTTTTTGTGGGTTGAGGCTTTTGATAAGTCTAGAGACTTCTCTTACTGAAATGAGTATATTACTGAGATTCTGCTCAGTGAGACATGGGAAGTTGAGGAGGGGATGGCTTTTGTCATCTAACATTGAGTTTCAGACAAAAATCGAGATGAAGAATTTCATGTTTACCAAGGAGGATATGACCTCAGGGCCATTTATAATAGTGGGCACAACCGCTTTGCCTCTGTTCATAATTTGGTTGGTGATCTTCCAGAATTTGTGAGATCCAATTTGTTTCTTTTCAATCTTGGCTTGGACAGTTTGTGTGTAGCTGCATTTTGCATTTTCCAGAACTCTTTTACAATGGTTGCAGGCAGTTCTGAAAGTAGTAAGGGACAAATTACACCACTCCTTGTAATAGATTTTGAAGTAGTGGTTCCAGTTAGTTATGGCTGCAGCACATTCAGGGGTGAGGACTGACTCTTTGGTTTTTGCTGGAATTTTTTTTGGTATAAAACATTCCATTCCAGAAAGGATCCATTTAGGGATTAGGACAGCAGTTTTGGGGGCAGCATGTTTGAAGAAGGTTGAGAGAGGAGCTTCCATCAAATGGAACTGCACAAAGCACAGAGAATTTATCAGTTATTTGAGGCAAGGCTGTACAAGATCAAATTGTCTTTCTGGCATAAAACTCAAACATTCAGAATTGTCCAAGTGCACAGTTTTTTTTTTTTGAGACACCATCTCTAGTAAGGTTGGCGTTCAAGGCTTGAGATCCCATCCTAGCCTTATATATATATATATATATATATATATATATATATATATATATAAAAAGAACAGTAAGATATATAATCCGGTGTTCTTATTGATATTTTTATTTTTACAAAATAGTGCTCAATGTAAGTTTACAGAGCATAAATATTGTAAATTAACTGATTTAAAATATGCTTTCTTCACTACACAGGAATTACCATGTTTCAAAAACCAAAGCTAAAAACTTCAAAGTTAATTATTTAATTAAATTAAAAGCATTAGTTCTGTTTCATCTTCAAGCGAATTTTGGGATAGCTTATTTTTATTAGCTTATACACACACACACACATATATATAATATACACACACACACACACACACACACACATATATATATATATATACACACACACATATATATATATACACACACACACATATATATAATACACACACATATATATATAATATACACACACACACATATATATAATATACACACACACACATATATATAATACACACACACATATATATAATACACACACACACATATATATAATATACACATACACACACATATATAATACATATAATACACACACACACATATATACATATAATACACACACACACATATATACATATAATACACACACACATATATATATAATACACACACACACATATATACATATAATACACACACACATATATACATATAATACACACACACATATATACATATAATACACACACACACATATATACATATAATACACACACACACATATCCATATAATACACACACACATATCCATATAATACACACACACACATATACATATACTACACACACACACATATATACATATAATACACACACACATATACATATACATATATATACATACACACACACACATATACATATATATAATACACACACACATATATAATACACACACACACACACACACATATATATATAATACACACACATATATAT